AGAGGTCAGCTGCAGTGCCAGTAATAGACACCAGAGCCACTTCATCTGCACCACATACAGCTTCAGTGCCACCAGCTCTAGCACCTACTCCATCAGCTCCATCTACATCGACTGAAGCCTTCGTTCTTGGAGTTATCCAGACACCACCACCTGAAGACCAAGCCTGAGAGACGATTTAGTGCTATGCATTTTCTAGGAACTTTTTGGTAACTTGTTGCCAAAGGGGGAGAAAAATGTATAGATCATAGGCTTCGAGAGAGAACATTGCTTTTTATTCTCTCTTGCTTTGGTGGTTCAACTTTATTTGCTTGTTTGAGATACTTTCTGTCTGCGTGATACTTGGATGATCACGTGTGTTTGATCATATGCTACCTTAATGCTTGTTGGATGACATTATCATTTTATCCCTATATGATCATTCACTTTGCTTGGTGATGAGTGCATGTATTTAATTATTATCATTTTGAGCGCTCCACCAAGATGTATGTTACATGGAAGAGTAACCCATGAGCCTAACTCTCTCCGCATTTGCAGTCCAAAGCAAATCATAAATTATGCACAAATTTAGGGGGAGCTCTTGCTTTTCACATACTTCCCAAAGCGACAATGTTTTTCACTTATTATCATTTGTCGAAGCTTTGATCCATATGTTGTCATCAATTACCAAAAGGGGGGAGATTGAAAGTGCAACTATCCCTAGGTGGTTTTGGTAATTCCTAACAACATATAGCTCATTGAGCTAATGCTATTCCAGGATTAATATTTCAGGAAAAGCTCAATGAATGGCATGACATGGATGAGGAAAGTGGACCCCTCAAAATACTAATGACAAAAAGATTGTCTCAAGCTCAAAGCTCAAGACTCTACATTTTATATTTTAGTGATCCAAGATCACATTGAGTCTATAGGAAAAGCCAATACTATCAAGGAGGGATGAGGTGTTGTTTGATGAGGTTCTTGCTTCATAGTGCTTAGTGATATGCTCCAAAACTCTCAACTACCTTCCCACATCCACATATGACCTAAATCAAAAGTCAAACTCGGCCCCACCGATTCTTTCTATCCGGCGCCACCGAGTTCAGATGTCATAGCCACTGCCACAAACCCTAGGCAAATCGGTCTCACCGATAGGGATCTCGGTCACAGCGAGATGGGGTTGTAATCTCTCTGTTTCCCTTCGTAATGTTTCGGTCCTACCGAGATGAGCGATCGGTCCCATCGAGATTGCAATGTAAACTCTCTGTTTCCCTTTTGTAACATTTTGTTCCCACCGAAATGAGTGATCGGTCCCACCGAGTTTACCTGACCAACTCACTGGTTAGCTTATTACCAAAATCGGTCCCACCGAGTTTGTGTAATCGGTCACACCGAGATTACGTTATGCCCTAACCCTAACCATATCGGTCCTACCGAGTTGCATCTCAGTCTCACCGAAAATCCTAACGGTCACTAGGTTTGCTAAATCGGTTGGACCGAGTTTCTCAATTCGGTCTCACCGAGATTAGTAAATTGTGTGTAACGGTTAGTTTTTGTGTGGAGGCTATATATACCCCTCCACCCACTCTTCATACGTGGAGAGAGCCATCAGAACATACCTACACTTCCAATACACATTTTCTGAGAAAGAACCACCTACTCATGTGTTGAGGCCAAGATATTCCATTCCCACCATATGAATCTTGATCTCTAGCCTTCCCCAAGTTGCTTTCCACTCAAATCTTCTTTCCACCAAATCCATATCCTATGAGAGAGAGTTGAGTGTTGGGGAGACTATCATTTGAAGCACAAGACCAAGGAGTTCATCATCAACACACCATTTGTTACTTCTTGGAGAGTGGTGTCTCCTAAATTGGCTAGGTGTCACTTGGGAGCCTCCGACAAAGATTGTGGAGTTTAACCAAGGAGTTTGTAAGGGCAAGGAGATCGCCTACTTCGTGAAGATCTACCGCTAGTGAGGCAAGTCCTTCGTGGGTGATGGCCATGATGGGATAGACAAGGTTGCTTCTTCATGGACCCTTCGTGGGTGGAGCCCTCCGTAGACTCATGCAACCGTTACCCTCCGTGGGTTGAAGTCTCCATCAACGTGGATGTACGATAGCACCTCCTATCGGAACCACGACACAAACATCCGTGTCTCCAATTGCGTTTGAATTCTCCAAACCCTTTCATTTACATTCATGCAAGTTGCATGCTTTACTTTCCGCTGCTCATAGACTCTTTGCATGTTTGCTTGAATTGTGTTAAGATTGCTTGACTTGTGCTAAGATAGCTAAAATCTGCCAAAGACTAAAATTGGTAAGAGGCTAGATTTTTATTTGGTCAAGTAGTCTAATCACCCCCCTCTAGACATACTTTCGATCGTACAATCCCCCTCCAACTTTCTGCCCCGTTTGCATGCTTAGCAACGATGGAGGCGTGTGAAGGTGTGTCTCCGACGGCTTAACTTCTCGTTCGGGAAGGCGCTGGTCCATCTTGTCGCGCCGGAGCCGGGGTTGGTGAGCGCTCTGATGACGCGGGAGGACCAAGAGGTGTGGGATCGCCTTGAGGCTGCAGTCGCCAACGAGGCCTACATAGATGACCTCTGGTGGCAGCACCTGGAGCTCGTGGAGGTGGAGCGGGCGATATTCGCCGCCAATGGCGGCAAAGTCATCATCATCTCAGACGACAAGGACGATGGAAAGTAGGGCGGTGAGGAGCAGAACGACGTCCCGATGAAGACGACGGCGGCGGCACCGGCCTGAACCCGGCTCTCATCGACAGTGACCTCACCCGGAAGGATTGGCTCGACCTTCACTTCGGCCGAAAGTAGTTCAAGTTTAGTTTTAGTTTAAATTTATGTTTAATGTTCGGTTGCGAGAACTTTAGTTTATATGCATGTTTATGTGTTGAACTTATGTTTAAATGCATCATCTTTCGGTTCAAATTTGATTGAATTTGTGCAAATTTAGTTTTACTCCATTAACTTTAGAGGATCGGTTAGGAGTGGCGAAATATTAGTGAAGCATATATACTCCACTAATGTATATACTCGATGAACTTTTAAGAGCTCGGTTAGAAAATGCCCTTAGGTAACATACTATTGGCTTGCGTACGAGTGGCTGGCTTTTTTTAGAAAAACCAGTGGCTGGCTGCCCAAACCAGTCCGCCATTCAGACTGCGCACCGGCCCATTTCTACAAGGAAGCCCGACCCAACTCAGGCTTATCCCGAAATGGGAAAGGCACCTCCACAGTTTCTGCCCTAGTAGGCGGCCGGAGGCCGCCGAGTGCTTATTCTGGCGACGCAGTCAGGCCGTGCCTGCCCATAGGGCTGGACCAAAAGCTCGTAGCTCACAAGCTTAATGAGCATTTGATAGTTCGGCTCGTTAAGCTCGTAGCTCGCTTTTTAATGAACAGAGCCAATTATTGATTTTAGCTCGTTATGTTTAACGAGCTTAATGAGCGAGCTAACGAGTTTCACGAGTAGCTCGTTAAGCTCGTTAGTAACAACACAATACACATTTTCATGTTACGTGACAAACTTCTTGTAGCACCCCAGCCCATCTATTTAATCTAATCGACATATGAGGCAACAAACTACTTCATTTCTTTTTGTAGTCACCATGTTTCATCTTGAAAACCATACCTACACATTCATCATGTATATCGTAACACATTATAATCTGTTAACGAGCGCTCGTGAGCGTTCACGAGCTTAACGAGCTTCAAACGAGCCGAGCCGAGCAGGTTTTCTGCTCGTTAATCTTAACGAAGTTAACGAGCCGAGCCTTAACGAGCGCGAGCTTAACGAGTACGAGCTTAACGAGCCGAGCTGCTCGTTAGTCCACCCCTACCTGCCCGCCGGAGGCCGTCCCACATTTTCCGCCGGCTGGGCGAGTTCCTCGTCTTCCCGAGTATCCCGCCTCCCTTGCGTTCCACCGCGGAAGCTATCTGCCACACTGAGTAATCCCTTTGCCCTCTCCTTTTGATTTCAGAATAGAAGTGCTGCGTTTGTACTTTCTATTAGTAGCTGGGGCAGTGGCATGCATGATTAGCTGAGGCCATCTGCGCATCACCGTATTAGAAAGAGCTTAGATGCTCGTCTTGTGATTCTGATAAGGAAATGGCCACAGTTTATGAGGGAGAGGGGACAAAATCACAGCAATGACAGGAAGATACTAGTAGAACAATTTAACAAGTTCTCATTGTTCAAAGGTTGACAAATCCAGTGCATATGTTTCTAATTAATAACATTACAACATGATAACGTACAGATCAGGTGACCCATGTGGCATTACAATGTAATAACGTACAGATCAGGTGACCCATGTAGTTCGGTTTAGTATCTAGACGAATTAACATTCGAGGCATTACAGTTTGCAACATAGATGCGAGTTAACTTCCCTCAAACGTGTATGTAATATTAATACACAGAAACACAGTGCATGATCATGTGTTTGTTGTGTTTTGTGGCATAGGGCGATTTTCAGACGACACAAAGGGCTTGGGTGGAATCTGCAGGTTCTGCAACCTCCCTGTTAACATGTTTACCACCTTTGTTATTGATGTCCGATTCTTCGGGTTCCACTGGATACACCGCGGAAGTTATCTGCCATGGTAATCCCCTTTGCTCTCATTTGATTTCTGAAGTGGAATGCTGAGTTTCCAGTACCTAGTAATCATGGCAGTTGCGTGATTAGTTACAGGATCCTCTCTTTTTATAGAATAAGCAGGCGATCTGGACATTTCTGTACTATAAGGACTTTACAGTAGTATCATTGTTGGGGGGAAGGGGATAAAATTACAGCAATATAACTGGCTAAGATTTATATCCCAACAGTCACAACAATGCCAGGACAATGACTGCAAAATCCAGTGTCATATGTTTCTAATTAATAGCATTGCAATATGGTAAGATACAGATGCAGTATTAACATTACTGCAAAATCCCATGTAGTTCAGTATGTATCGAACATTTGGCAAGCTAGTGCCAAGGAACTAAGCTTTACAACGAAGATGCGAGTTATGTTCCCTCAAACGTGTAATGATACACACAAAAACACACACAATGCGTGTTCATGTGTTCGTTGTGTTTTCTGGCATAAGACGATTGTCAGACGACACAAAGGGCTGTGGTGGAATCTACAGGTTCTGCAACCTCCCAGTTAACATGTTTACCACCTTTGTCATTGATGGTCGATTCTTCGGGTTCCATTGGATGCACCACAGTGCCACAATAGTCAGCTGTCTCATCTTTGTTAGAACTAATCTTGTTATTAGTGCTAGATTTAGATTTTGAGTCATGCATGTAGTCGTGTTCAGCTACTAGACTGCGGGTGTGTACTCACATGGAGATGAGTTAATGTGTGTACACGCAAGTCAGTAGTGAAATTAGGAGATTAGATAGTGTTGCATGCATGAATTTGTTAGCCGGCCAAGTCATGTGGCTGTTGTGGAGAGATTGCACCATTGTTGTACGTGCGCATGCATGTACGTGGGTTAGTTGAGTTAGTGGGCAAGAGAATAGGGCTAGTGGAGTATGCGTGAGTGGCATAGGAGTCGGGCAGGTTGTTGCCCTGGCAGTGCGTGAGTCTTGTGTACTGCCTATTTAAGTTGACAAATGAATGCGAGGCCGTGAGTGCTGAGGCAACAATGTAGTGTTTGCGGCTGCCAAGTAAGAGTGCCTCTGGGCAAAGCTTGTGTGCTCTTCTTGGTATATGCGTGTGTGTGTGCTTCTTGGTATATGCGTGTGTGTGTGTGCGCGCGTTGAGTCTTCCCCTGGTGTGTGTGTTTTTGTGTGAAACCACAAGAGAGATGAGAGAGTTGTGTGAGGCAGCTCGAGGTAGAAGAAGAAGCGGCGCTGCGGGAAGAGGCGGCGCCAACAATCTTCTCCTTGTCTTCTGCTGTCATTTCCAAAGTAAGCTCCCATTCTTTCCCATTGATTACTTTCTCGTAGATCCACTCCGAGAGATAAACTTCGGCCTGGTTCTCAACACTTGGGTCTGAGTTCCTCCTTCCACTCACCATTTCCAACACCAGCATGCCAAAACTATATACATCTGACTTGTATGAAACCCCTCCAAAGTTCCGAGAGTATAGCTCTGGTGCGATGTATCCCATTGTGCTTCTGGCTGCAGTCAAGGTAACAATGCTCTGGTCCCTTGCATACAGCTTTGCGAGTCCAAAGTCTGAGATCTTTGGATTGAAGTTGTAGCCTAGCAAGATGTTATGCGGCTTGATGTCAAAGTGGAGAATGCGCTGGTTGCAGCCTTGATGCAGGTATTCCATTCCTTGGGAATGCCTAAAGCAATAGCTAGCATTTTGGTGGGTGCCAGGAGTAGTTGCGAAATATTAGAAACATGTGAGAATATATATTTCTCCAGTGACTCATTAGGCATGAATTCATAAATAAGAGCCCGTCCCGTTCCTTCGGAGCAAAAGCCAAAGAGACGGACGATATTTGCATGGTGGGTCAGTCCAATGGTTGCAACTTCATTGATGAATTCCTCTCCCTCTCTTGTAGAGTTCTCTAGCATCTTGACTACGACAGGAACTCCATTTCGTAGCTCACCTGTATACACTTCCAAACCCACCCTGGCCTAGTTTATCGTTGAACCGTCTTGCTATCTTCTTAACTTCAGGGAAAGTGTACCATGTGGGTTTCAATGTGCCATATGCCTTGAGAAACATTTCAACTTTCATATTTATCTCTTCATTGTACCTTGACTTCAAGGAGAGATAGATCACAGTAGCCACCATCAATGAAAGAACAACAAATGCGGCTGCAGATGATGTAGCTGCATACGCAGAATATATGAAGTCAGCATACTGCATTAGGAGAGAAAGCCATCACTTAGTGATTGACTGTTGAGCATGAGAGAAATCAGATTCAGAGTAATACTAGTAAAAATAGTTTATGCATGGTAAATGACTTTGTTTCTTTTCTTTATCACTTTTGTTTGAATAAAATGGGAAGTGCGGATTGCACAAGTACCTGCAGCGATTTTGACATGTGAACCTGCAAATGTCAAACAAGGGAATAAGTTTTGATTGATGGTTTAGTAAATAGAAGGGAAGTTCACTTCTTGACAATAAAAGGCAATATCACAGTTATATGAGATTGCGGCAATACATAACCTTAAAAAGTGCTAGCAAGTAGCATGTCTCGGTTGAGTCTAGTCTAAATTATTGTAATCCAGTTATCCCAGTATGAAGCTGTGTTAGAAAATATATAGGGGTTGTTGTGATCATGTACAGTTTGGTCAGTTGGTTTAAAATACAAAAGAAGAAAAGGAGTGAAAAAGGGATACCATGAGGCCTGCGGCGTATGCAGAATGTTTGATTTCTATGCGAACTGAAAGCACAACTCTGCCCATCAAGTGCACATTGTGTGCAACTGGTAGAAATGCCATCGTCACGCCAACTAACAGTTGTTTCAGCAAAACTAATAATTCTTTCTGACATTTGCTTGAACATCGAGCCATCCATGGATCTTGATGGTATCAGAACATTTGACATGGCCTTGCAGTCCAACGGAAGCACATGCATATATAGACTAGCACTCACCAAATAGACAAACTGACTTTGGTTGCTAAAGCAAGAGATTGGGCCAACAATATAATCGGCAGCCTTTTTCATCTCGTAGTCATCATCAACTTGAGTAGTGCTACTTGGTATGAACTCCTTTGAACAGTGTACTATTTTTCCAGGTATTGCCTTGTATAATGAACATCGACGGTAGGCATCAGCTAGTTGATCTGTGGAGATGAGCTTCTGAAGCGGGCATGAAGTCAAGGAGTCTATGAGCGGGATGATGCAGAGGGTAGCATGGTTGTAGTCTATGGTGGTCACTTTGTAGTGGCCAAGAAGTGGGTGGAGTAGGATGAAGTCTTGGCCTGAGCAAGCCATCTTCGCACATGTCGCGCCGCATGATGAAGATGAAGTGCTGGTTTCAAGCCGGAGCGGGAACCGGATCTCAGGCCCATCTACGCTGCACCGTGACGGCGGGCAGTATTTGAAGAAATCCTGGTCATCCCAGCACGTTGAAGTTGTGACCATGCCAGTTCTATGGCCGAGGATAGAGGCCATGAGAGCTGCGACAACGAGAAACATACTCATCTTTCTCATACTGCTCTGCAGAGATGGGTGAATGGACACGAAGATAAAGCTAATCAATGAGTTGCAGGCTGAAAATTGAAGTGGAGGAAGAAAACCACTGGCCCAGGTCGCATTTGAATGAGCTAGCTGGACCTCACCTTTCTATCTGTGGCTGATACACTAGTAGAAAAGAGGGCTTTGGTTCAGGCCGGGTCATCCCATTAGTCCCGGTTCAGTCCAGAACCGGGACCCATGGGGGCATTGGTCCCGGTTCGTGAGGCCAGGGGCCTGCCGGGCCTCGTGGGGGCATTGGTCCTGGTTCGTCTGGCCCCTTTGGTCCCGGTTGGTGGGACGAACCGGGACCAATGGGCCTCGCTCCTGGCCCACCACCATTGGTCCCGGTTGGTGGCTTGAACTGGGACCACGGGCTTCCCTTTGGTACGGATTCATGCTACGAACCGGGACCAATGAGGTGCCTATATATACCCCTCGCCCGCAAGAAGAGCACCCCAGTGCTCTGTTTTTCTCTGGCCGGCGAGGGGAGAGCTTTGTGGTGCTCTAGCTCACCTCCTATGCACATGAGGTGTTCGATGAAATGCCCGAGCCACACTAGTTAAGCTTTCTCCTCTTGAAGCTCGACCTCAAAGCTCCATTTTCCTCGAGATTTGTCTAGGTTTAGCGGCTCGTCTCGTCCCATTCCCGTCTTCACCGTCGTCGATCGCCCGCACCGATCTCGTCGCCGAAACCACCATGGTAAGCCTCTTGTTCTTATCTTCTCTCTGAAAGAAAAAATTCTTATTTTAGATAGATACTTGTCTAATTTTCTTACTTTTATTATTGCTTGTTATTATATAGTGCGATGGTTTTGGTATCCGCCCCCGTCGGCCCTCGTCCTGGCTATGATTCGGATGTGGTATATATTATCTTTTTATAACTATTTGGTTCATTTATTGTTTATGACAATTATGCCTACCAACGTGACATAGATTTTATTTATCTAGGAGGTAGTTGAACCGGAAATTCCAACCGACCCTATTGTCGAGAGGTTAAATTTAGTTGAAGAAGAAAACAATTACTTGAAGTAAAAAAATTGGAGGAGGAGAAGATGATATTGGAGTTGCATGTTGCGGATGTCATCGATGATCACAAGATCAAGATGGATGCAATGCGGTTGAAGATGAGAAAGATTAGAAAATATGCCATTCATACCGAGGCTTGGTATCATTATGTCGTTGGATCAATTGTTACCTTGGTTGCGATTATGATCGCATTTGTTTTCGCCTTGAAATGTTTTACATAGTTTCAATGTATGGTTTAATTAATTAGATGCTCTGGAGAGCTATATGTTGTTAGATGAGAACTATGTATGTACTTTGGTTTTAATGTGATGATGAACTTCTATTAATTTGGTCACTTAATTATCTATTCATGATGTTATGTAATGGTTTTTGACACACATAATTATATATAATGCACGCAGATGAACCGGCAATGGATGTACGGTGACAGACACACCTCCGAGTACATTAAGGGCGTGCATGATTTTCTCGAAGTGGCTGAGGCGAACAAGCTGAATGGTTTTATGTGTTGTCCATGCCCTAAATGTGGGAACACGAAGTCTTACTCTGACCGGAAAATCCTTCACACCCACCTGCTTTACAATGGTTTCATTCCACACTATAATGTTTGGACGAGGCACGAAGAAATAGGGGTTATGATGGAAGACGGCGAAGAAGAAGAGGACGATGACAACTATGTGCCCCCTGAATACGGTGATGCTGCAACAGGGGAAGCTGCTGAAGATCAAGAGGAACCAGACGATGTGCCCAATGATGCTGCAACGGGAGAAGCTGTTGAAGATCATGAGGAACCAGACGATGTGCCCAATGATGATGATCTCCGCCGGGTCATTGTCGATGCAAGGACGCAATGCGAAAGTCAAAAGGACAAGCTGAAGTTCGATCGCATGTTAGAGGATCACAAAAAAGGGATGTACCCCAATTGCGAAGATGGCAACACAAAGCTCGGTATCGTACTGGAATTGCTGCAGTGGAAGGCAGAGAATGCTGTGCCTAACAAAGGATTTGAGAAGCTACTGAAAATATTGAAGAAGAAGCTTCCAAAGGATAACGAATTGCCTGACAGTACATAAGCAGCAAAGAAGGTCGTATGCCCTCTAGGATTGGAGGTGCAGAAGATACATGCATGCCCTAATGACTGCATCCTCTACCGCGGTGCGTACAAGGATCTAAACGCATGCCCGGTATGCGGTGCATTGAGGTACAAGATCAGACGAGATGACCCTGGTGATGTTGACGGCAAGCCCCCCAGGAAGAGGGTTCCTGCGAAGGTGATGTGGTATGCTCCTATAATACCACGGTTGAAACGTCTGTTCAGAAACGAAGAGCATGCCACGTTGATGCGATGGCACAGTGAGGACCATAAGAAAGACGGGAAGTTGAGAGCACCCGCTGACGGGTCGCAGTGGAGAAAAATTGAGAGAAAGTACTGGCCTGAGTTTGCAAGTGACCCAGGGAACGTATGGTTTGGTTTAAGTGCGGATGGCATTAATCATTTTGGGGAGCAGAGCAGCAATCACAACACCTGACCCATCACTCTATGTATGTATAACCTTCCTCCTTGGATGTGCATGAAGCGGAAGTTCATTATGATGCCAATTCTCATCGAAGGCCCTAAGCAACCCGGCAACGACATTGATGTGTTCCTAAGGCCATTAATTGAAGAACTTTTACAGCTGTGGAATGGAAACGGTGTACGTACGTGGGATGAGCACAAACAAGAGGAATTTAACTTGCACGTGTTGCTGTTTGTAACCATCAACGATTGGCCCACTCTCAGTAATCTTTCAGGATAGACAAACAAGGGATACCATGCATGCACTCACTGTTTAGAAGAAACTCAAAGTATATACCTGGACAAATGCAGGAAGAATGTGTACCTGGGCCATCATCGATTTCTTCCGACCAACCATCAATGTCGAAAGAAAGGCAAGCATCACAAAGGCGAGGTAGATCACCGGAAGAAGCCCGCCATGCGTACCGGTGATCACGTACTCGCTATGGTCAATGATTTACACGTAATCTTTGGAAAGGGTCCTGGCGGACTAGCTGTTCCGAATGACGCTGAGGGACACGCACCCATGTGAAAGAAGAAATCTATATTTTGGGACC